ACAAAAAAAGTGGAGACTAAAAAACCTGGCCAAAGTATTTTTCCAGATATGTTTAGGGTCTGAATCTACTCATCATCTTTATAGAAACAGCCAACGAGAACAAATCATGACTCTTCTAATGACTGGTGTTCAGGACTGAGACCCAGCTAAAATGCTTTCAAACTTGTACACTCACATGAAGTTCTCCTGATTCATATAGTGACAGGTTTGGTCATAATGTTGAACACAACCAAAATAATTATGATGTCCTGTTTCATGCTAAGATGAACAGGGAAGAAAATTTTTTCTATGGAAAAAGGTCTGCACTCAAAAAACCTTTTGGGGTGTTTTTTTTTTTCCAAGAGCAGATGTTTGCAGGAAATCTGTATTACATCAGACTACTATACTGTTTTGACAGGACACAAAATGTCCATGCAGTAAGACTACACGGGCAGCTGTCATTATACATCCAGCATGATCTTTCAGTGTAGTTATGGGTATATACAGCATTTGTATTACTGCCAATTAATCAGTCGTTGTCACTATCTGGTTATCAAACAAGCAATCTGGGAAATCTGAACCATTTGCACTCCCAATGGTGTGGATTCCTATCAGTTTTCAGATCATGCAATCAGGTCCTTTGTTTCCTAATGCTCAGAAAGCACGTAGGAAATTTTTTTTTTAATCAGAAAAGAAATTATCAGACATAATGTTATACTGAATTTGCTCAGACTTCTGGAATCATCTCTTTCATAAGAGCGATGACCGAGATGACCAGTATTAGAATAATCACTTCAGTTTAGCTTGTGTAAAACTTGTTACATGATATCTATGCTTACAGCTTTGAATGTTGATCTTCAAGATGGAGGAATTTAACTGCCTCATCTGCCAAACCATATAGGAAAACATAGTGTTCATATAAGGCATACAGCAGTACTTTGGACTCATTAGCCTCGGTCAGTAGAACACAGCGGCAAGGCTGTGCTCAGTTTTGTTCTCGTTCATTTGAAACAGAATCACCATGCTGCATCCCTCCCGAAGAACAAGACCATATGATATTTATGAGGGAAAAAACTAACAGAAGAAACTCAGATGCTAACCAAGAGGGATTTTACTGCAATGAGAGTGTATTTTAAAATGACACTTCACACAACATTCAGGACCGAGTCTTCTCACTAACAGAGGAAAGCTAAAACTTATTTTTTTCTCAAATGGCATTTATGTCATTAAATGTGGGAATGAGTGAATACGCAGTTCTGATAGGTAGCACTTTATCAGAGGACAGGTTCACACTTGCATCGTGTTAGTTCCAGCTTCTCCAACATGGCCCCATCCATCTACTCCTTTTGCAACACCTAACAATGTAAGTTTTAGTTTCCATTCTCACTGAGTCATTAGTCTCTCTGTGGATACTGAAAATAAAGGCAATCATGTATGGCTAATTGTGCCAGATATCAGATGACAGAATCTGTATATCCCAGTGTGGACTCAAAAGGCAGGGAGAGAAATGGAGGGCTTCAGATTTCACTGGGAATCAACAGGGGATTTCAAAATGAGAGATTACATTTTCACTGATAAAGAGTTTCTTTGCCACTGGAAAACAATCAGGTGTTAGCTGTTCTTCTATAAATACAGTGTGCATTTCATTTACAAAAAGAAAATTCAATTTCTGACAACCAGGGATAAAAAGGTACTTCCTGTTGATCTCATGGTACACTAGTAAAGCCATGACCTGACTTAAAATTCTCTAATGAAATAACAAAGACGTGTTTATCGCTACACAAACAAACAAGAAAAATTCCTTGGCTTTGTCTTCACTAAGATAACGTTGTGTACCAAATTCTGCTGGGAGCAACAAACTGAGCATTGTGTCAGGTCCTTTGATCTCCCCTGAAAACCACTGCTTTAAGTACACAAAGTCTGAAAGATGAGTGATAGGGAGGATAGAAAAAGAAGAAAAGAAGGAACATTGTACTTTCCTGACCTTTTACTGTCTGATGACCAGATGACAGAGGGTTTGTAGGGAACACTGTGCTTATATGTAATGCACGGGAATGTCTGAAGTAAGAAGAGTTCCCCCTTGAAAGAGAGTGCAATGCCATTTAAAGGTGGGTTTGGGTCAATTCTTCATAAAAAAACATGAATGTTTCTTTGTGACTCAACAAAGTCATCATCATCACTGAGCTAAACTGGATTTGTACAGAGTTTGGAAGGCATAATCTTTCTAGGTTAGCAGCTACACTAGATTCAGCTCCAGTCATGTTAGCATAGCTCAGTGGCCATCCTGAGTACCACTGTATGATAAAACCATCCTCAAAGTGCATCTAGCCTGGCTCTTTCAAATGACACCAGAATTTAAGTGGTATGCCCAATTTCTAGTAGAGAGGTTGCACTGATAGCTGAAAATAACTTAACACACGAAGAAAGACAACTTTAATTTTTTTCCCTCATAAACATAGCCTTAGAGGTTGAGTCTGAAAGATTCAAGGGAGTCTACAGAGTCAGTAATTTGAACTTTTACCACTGAGTGGTTGCCAAACTCTCCCTTTAATTCCAGACTAAATAACATGCAGCAAAACAACATAGGTGAATTTGCTCAGTATTTTCATTTTAATGTTCTTCATTGCACAGAAACAAGAGGCCTTTGAGGTTCTCAAATTTTCCACAACCTAAACTCATCCTAAGATATTTATGAAGTCAGTCACACATGCACAAAGCCCACCTTTTAACAAGAAAACTGACATTGTGACAAAGCCTATTTTAATCAGAATACTTCAGCCCACAGCATGCACAGATACAGCCCAAAGATGGTCCTGAAATGAAAGTAAACCATTCTCCCAACTTACTGGAGCGCTGACAGATTATTTTAGGACTAGCTTGAATGAAAAATAAGAATTAGACTCAGACCTCTGTTTTCTCATTTCTAGCTAGCTCCATGTTTGTTTTTCCTTCCCCCCCCCCTTTCTTCCATATGTCTGTTCATGTGTGTTTGGTTATTATAAGCACTTTATCAATACTGACGTTACTCCTCAAAATTCATTTCAAAGGGATGACTTTTATGGCTCCCATGATTCTTAAGCCGCCTACGGTATTTGTAACTCACAGAATCAGAAACTAACACACAGACAGTGTAGCTTTTCATACAAAGGCACAATAGGAATGAATGTATTAACCTCTGTGGTGCATGGAATGTGTCAGCTTACACACTGGCAGCTATTTCTGTGAAACTCAGCTAACTTCCGCTGGCTGTGTTAAAATAAAATTTAAAAAAAAAAAAAGATCCTCCCCAGGACTGTGTCCCACGCTCTCGTACGCTGGCCAAACAACTGAAATATCTGCTGATGTCTACTTCATACTGATGTGGGCCAAACAGAGCTTGAGAATGCATTTCACACGTACTGGTTATAAACACTGAGCCTTTCCAAGCAGGTATAAAGCTCTGCTGTCTCCATGTGACTTGGCAAATAATAGTGAGCGGGGAGACTCGTTTGCAATGGAGAGCACGGGACTTTTTTTTTCTTGTTTCTAGAAAAGAGTGTCAATCCAGATCATGCAGAATTACAGATGATTTGGATTTTGGTTTCCTTTTAGTCCCAAATTTTACTCAGCTTCATCCTGCCAGCAAAGCATACATGGCAGGTAGCAAAATCCAAACTGTAGCAATGGACATCACGTTTGCTTAATTCCAATGACTTGACAAGGGTTGTGTGGCTAATCAGTAATATCTGAGGAACATCTGCACTGCTGTCATTAAGACTCATGGACACCCTAATACTTTCAAAATTTGAAACTGTATCAGCAGTTTGAAAATCATATACATCTGGCTACCAGACCAACTCTTTCATGTAGTTGAAAAAAAAATTCTTTAGTATCTTTCCACCTGTTTTCTAATTGTCTATGTTAAATTAGGATAATCATTAATTATCTGCACTACAGCAGTGCCTAAAATGCTTGAGTACCATAAAACACTGTAGGAGGGGCCAGTCATGCTCTGAAGAGCTTATGGCCTAAATGGACATAATCATGTAAACAACTTTTAAGCAGTTTAAAAGTGCTTGTCAGGACAGAGCTTTTCTGCCTGGCAATCCACTTCCTTTTGGTGGTTTACACCTAGCCAGCATTACAGCCTGCATCAGAAGGATCTAATGGAAAAGTGTCCCAGTTTTGGCTGGGATAGAGTTGGTTTTCTTCTCAGTAGCTGTGTTTGGGATTTAGGATGAGAATAACGTTGATAATACACTGATGTTTTGGTTGTTTCTAAACAGCACTTACCCTAAAACAAGGATTTCTCATTTCCCATGCTCCACCAGTGAGGAGCTGTACAAAATGCTGGGAGGCAGCAAGGCCGAGACAGCTGAACCAAACTGGCCAAAGGAATATTCCATACCAGGGAATGTCATGCTCAGTTTATAAACTGGGGGTAGTTTTCTGGGAGGGGCTGATTGCTGCTCAGGGACAGGCTGGGCATTGGTCAATGGATGGAGAGCAATGGCACTGTGCATCACTTGTTCTTCTTGTATTTTACTTCTCTCTCTCTCTCCTTTTCATTACATTCATTACTATTATTGTTGTTATTATCATTATTCCTATTGTATTTAACTTTATTTCAATTATTAAAATGTTCTTATCTCAATCCATGGGTTTCACCTCTTTTTTCCCTGATTCTCCTCCCCATCCCACTTTTGGAGAGGTGGAGTGAGTGAGTGGCTGTGTAGTACTTAGTTGCCAGCTGGGTTAAACTGCAACAATAAGAGAAGCAAACATGCCACTATGCAGAAATTTAAAGTACAAACCTAAAAGTAGTTAAATTGACAATAAAGACACAAAAACCATAACAAGAAGTTCCTGGAAGGTAAAAGGAAAATGTGTATCATTTGACGATTCTTTTGCTTCAGATGCAAATTTTACGAGACAAGAACAGCCCCAAACCCCTGTTTAATTGCATTGTGTTGCAATGGAAGAGAAAACTGGTTTTCATATTTACTTAACCTTTGCCTCTTCTACATTGTGCTCGGACTTACCTGCAGTTGGAGTGGGCCTAAGCCCGGTGTTGCTGCGGCAGCAGCTGCCATGGTAGTTGGGATCAGCTGAACGGGGTAGGGGTCACCTAAGTAAGAGAATAATAGAGGCGTCAGCACCTTTTATCTACTCTCCACCTGCAAATTAAAGTCCTGCATTCACTCTTTCCAAAAGCCTTCTTTTGTGTGCCTTGTTGAGGCCTAATGAAAAGCTCTATTGTGCAGCCTTTTACTAACACTCTTTTCACAATTCTGGCTGAGAGAGGAATGTGAATAAAAGGCACAAGCAATTAAGGCGGAAACCTCATCCTTTTTCATGATGTATTTAGGGAAATGGGAAAAAAAAGTGCACACTGATCAGAAGGCTGCACTTCAAAAAAAAAAAAGGAAAGAAAGAAGATGGGGGTGGAGGAGAAGAAAAGGAAAACAGTACAACCTTGATAAGATCACAGCATTAGAAGGGGACAAATTTACAAGCTTGTCCAGAATATGAAGTTAACCAAACTCCGCTCACTGTTAGTAAACTGAGCCTCATGCAGAGCAGAAATGGCACTCAATTGACTACTCTGCTTTCTTTCAGGTGAGAAAAAAAAAAATCTCACTTTAGTGTCAGGGTTTGATCCTACAACAGGAAAAAGCACGTGAAGTTAAGGAAATCAGATACAAGCCTCCGAAATCCCTAAATCCCTGCACCGACTCCACTTCATGACCTGGGATTCAATTTTGCTTCTGAGGGAAAACTACTTCATTCTTAGTAAGAACTGCATTGTGCTGGATGAGATAGAGAGACCCAGTAACAGTTTTAGGAAAAATTGCGGTCATTTATAAAGGAAAATTACCTGAGATGACAAAACTTGAGATGGAGACTGGTATGTTTTAATGTTATGGAGTACTCACTTTTGGTCACTCCTTACATATCTGATTTGTTAAAATAAACTTCATACTAGCCTGTGCACAAAACTAGAAATAAAATATAATAAAATATATATATGGTAAAATATAATAAAAAATCTTACACACACTATATTGCTTCTCCAAATGATAAAAAGTTTAAGCACTTTCCACTGAAATAAGGCTCACCAGAGCATTTCTGCATGTCCCTATGTTCTGGTGACATGCATGATTTTTGTACCATTAAAACAGCCACTTGAAATGAGACTATGGAAAGGGCAGAACACTTTATCAGAAAAATCTACCTAAATGTTCCTGTACATTTTATTAGAGAGGCAGATTAAAAGTTTTCCCTTCATTGTGCTTTTTTGAATGAATGGGGGGGAAAAAAGACAATTAAGAAGGCAATGTGGGGTGTTCTGTACAAGCATTATTAGTTATTATTGAATTAAAGTTTATAATGTTATCAAGCCTTAGTTACAGAAAACAAAGAGAATGAAATTTATTTAATGTTTTTTAAATGTTAGAAATAAGCTGAGTTGGCATAAACACATTCAGGAAAACTACTAATGTTTTTTTTTCCCTTTTATAATGCAACCTTCTTTACAGAGATCTTTTCATTCAAGCATTTTGATCTCCTGTTAAGAATTAAATACGACAACTTCTAAAAATGAAGGGCTAGCAAAAAAACGGGCTGGCAAGGCACCTTAACAGATATTTAACTTAAATTAAGTGTGCATGCTTATATTTAAGAACATCTTAACTAACCCTTTGCTGACTGAAGCCTCAGTCTTTCAAGGCCTACCAGCCAAGCAATGGGAACCCAAAGGTCCACCCAGGCATCCCCATCCACAATTGTCTTCCCATCAGCACCAGGCCACAACCTCTCTATTTATGTTTGTCAATGGGTGACAGACTCCCTGACTTACTTGGTCGTTTTTTTTCCCCAGAGGATGCCATTGTTCTACACTTTCCAATCTTATTTTGCTTTAACTGAGGCACCCATTTTCCTTGTCATATCATTAATTTCTCTGAAGTTATTAATTTCTCTGACTTGAAATTTTCTGGAGAGTTATCTTGTGACTCAAGGCGTGGGCCTTAAACATGTGAAGACAGAGAGAAAAAAGAGATGGTAGTCAGAGAGCCAGTGTCAATGGTGTCTATCTGCTTCCATACCACTAGGAGCCCACAGGCTAATCTCAGCAGCATTCTGAAAGTCTCCTCTCTAGAAGGGGACATTTTGATCAAAAACCAGCCATGAAAGAACACAAAATTTTTAGTTTCTCAACTCAAAAAAAAAAAAAAAGAAAAAAAAAGAATGAGGGAAAAGTTTCTCACTAGGATACTGATTCTTACAGTCAATTAAAATTTCTAGTTTTGAATGACTTGCATTAAAACGTACATATTAAAAGACGGTTTCCATGCACTGTCCCACATTCCTCTTCTCTCCACACACATGTGTAAGCCTCAGCCCATCATGCTAATTTATAAATCCCACTCTTCTCACCTTCCTAAACAGCCAGGCAGATTCTCATATGCTCATCTGTTGTGGTAATTCCTACCCTTTATGGTTCATTTGGTAGAAATATCAAGGAGATGCTTGTGAGAGAAGAACATGCTGAAATCCCCATGGCCACAAGCACATCCCAAGGCCACATGCATGGTCACAACCACTTGCTTTGGAAGTGTAGGCAATGCTTCTGGGACTCCTACTAGAAAGCAACTACTACACCAATACGTGCTAATGTAGTTTTCCTGGATTCTAAAGCAAAAACTCATCCTAAAACCAGATTATAGCTGTGCAGAGCTAGGCTTGCCTGTCTGCCAGACTTTTTTTGTTAGCTCAATCCTGAAAGGGTTTTTCATTTTTCCACTGCTCCCCAATAATTTTAACTGACCAAAACAGCAAACAAAAATGAAAGCCTTCTGCAACCTATCATGAATCTTTGCACTGTTATGGTTTCGTAATACTCTCTGCTATCTTGTGGTTTAGCACAGGAGACAGATCACAAAAGAGCAAGGAATATGCTCAAACACCGTGCCAGGGCTTGGGCCACTCAACAGGCCAGTGTAAGAGCCAAGATTAGAACCCACAGACAACTCTTCAGACAGTGCCCTTCCCAGGGAAGGTTTGGGGCCCCTGTCCACGATAACGCCAAGCTCTTATATATTCGCATCACACAGGGCGGGAGCAACTGCCACCCCTCAAACTACTAACAAAGGTCTCAGGTCTTATCTGATAAATGCATTTCTTGCTGTTTCTCTAGAACATCATGCATCTTTCTACTATCCATAAATTTATTCCCACAGCATGAAGTTTCTCACTGAGCAGTTCTAGCTAATTCTGAAGTCTGGGAAATGCATGTCTTAACGATTTCATTACATCTTCAGTAAATATCTTATTTTTAGATGTAAAGAGTGGCTACATTTTTTTCCCAAGCTCTAGGAACATTTCAGGAATGTGAGGCGAGATATACAGTTAATAGAAATAGATATTTCCCAAGCCAGTCAGAAGTTTGCACAACTGAGAACACCAGTAAATTCTCAAACAACCACATTACATTCCCATTTACAAAATTCACTATTAATCTACTAATGCATGCACGCAGTAGTGTACCTCCCTGCATCTCTCAGCTACCAAAAGAAACATTTTATGCAGTTCTTTCATGTTCCAAACTGCCTCTTGTTATGTGTGAACTTTTCTTATAAACAAAGCATCAGAGAGAAGTTTTGTTGCTGTTGTTTTTCTTTAGTACCCTATATGGTAAAATCTGAAGCAGATCAAAGGCCAGGATTTTTACTGTGAGAACAAGCTAAAAATTATTTCATTAGCTGATGTATTATTCTCTAATATATAATTATTTCCCAGTTACTCAGCGACATCACTTTGAAGAACAGAATTATTTGAGGCTGACTATATGAAAAGAGCATAGAATTTACTGGTGATGCAGCACCTAAAGAAGTGAAGGGGATGTGGGGGAGTTGATGGGGTATATTAGAGGTGTTGGGGACACTGTGAGCAAAGGAGAATACCAGTGGTTCAGGGAAGAAAGAATGCAAGGCTGAACCCTCAATTCTGTGCCAATATTTTATTTCTCTATCCTTCTTCTGGTCTGTCTTCCACAAACATACCCAGAACCTCTTTCCTGATAATTTATGCACTGCAACTTCTTTCAATTTCAAATCACACCTTCATCCTTGCCCAAAATAATCTTCCAAGATCTTGCTTACAAGAGGATTTTTCATGAAGTACATTCACTTCCAAACCACTCTTTCTATGAACTCTCCTATGATACTCCACTGAAAACACTTTTCTGTGAAAGTAAGTTGTGGTACAGAGCCAAGTGGACATCCTGTCCCAAAACACAAAATAACAGCCCTGTGTTTAGGAACTTGATTTTCAACTGACTAGCTACCAAGTTCATGGATGTTAAATGATTCTATACTTGTGGAAATACAACAGTGGCTCTTAAACCATTTATATGTTTTGCAAAATTTTATCAAAGGAGTTTAATAATTAAAAAAGTTAAGGCTTTTTTTTAAAAAAAAAAAGAAAACAACAACACAAAAATGAAGCACAGGAGCCAACATTATGTGTGTTGCACCATTCACCCAAGCTCCTAGGATGCTTTTTGTATTCCTTTTTCTGTCACTCATCTCATTTATTCTCCTTCATGGTGTAATCCCCCCTAGTGTCTTGTCTTGTCTCCTGACAGGCTGCAAGCTCTTCAGAGCAGGCACAATTGTCTTACTTGCTATATAAATCAAGCTACATGCTAATGCTAAATGATAATGTTTTGACAGGATTTTTAAGTTGAACCTGATTACATGAAACAATAGAACACTCTGATTTTTTTTTTCCTGAAATTTTCTTCTCTTAAAAAAGGGATACCAGAAGAGGAGAAGTAGGGCATTTATTTCCCATGATTTTTAAAAAACTCACTGTTTTCCTCCTACCTCTTTCAGGGACAGCAAATGAAAAACGTTGGAGGTCGTGGAAGAAGAAAAAAAAAAGAAAACAGAGTGAAGAATATAAGGAGTAGGAAACAAAACCAAATTCTTAAATTATAATTTCTAAAACTAAATTCCATGAAAAATACCGGAATAAACATTTCCTTATAGTAGCTTCTGTTGAATGAAAAGGAGTCTTACATTATCTTCCCCCCATTTTTGACAAGTTCTAGAAAAAGCCACAATA